CTTTCTTTCTTTCTTTCTTTCTTTCTTTCTTTCTTTCTTGATAAATGTTATGAAATTGTTTTACCGTCTCATATTTTAAATAAGTTGCCCTGAAACCCAAAACATCATGCATGCATGCATGTGTTTTCTTTGGGTTCTTTGGTTTCCTCCCTCAAACCAAAAACATGCCTGCCAGATTAATGAGAAACTCTAAATATTTCATTGGCATGAGTGAGTGTGTGAATGATTGTCTCTGTGTGACCCTGTGATGGACTGGTGACCTGTCCAAGGTGTCCTCCTCCACTTGCCTCTTGACTGCTGGAGATAAAGATCGGCTACCCTTGTGAGGATGAATTGGTTTAGATAGTGAATAGATGGGTGGATGGATGAGTCCAGCAGCATCAAGTATCACAGATTATAAAAATATAAGTTATCATGTCTTTGTTCTTTATTATCAGATTGTTTTAGCATGTTTAAAGAACTGCACAAAGTTTAACATTACTCAGTGTTTAAAATGCACTCAAATGCAACAAAATAGCATAAAAAACGTCTGCCAATAACTGAACATGGTCCTGTTGAACCAGAGAGGACAGCAAGTGAGAAGAAATGGGTCTTGAGCAGAGATTAAAAGTTTAACTTTGAGCAGAGCAGCTCTCAGTGACAGTAGTGGGCTTTCCTTTCTTTTAAGACTCTCTTTTTCATTTAGAATGATAAACCAAGCAGTACCCCTCTGATATTAGAGGACAGCCTTTCATGAATCATTCTGCACTTTAAAAAAAACAAAACCTCACATTTCAAATTTAGTTACAGTCCAAACAGTAAAAACCCTGACAAAACCTTTGAAATGTAATCCAAAAATTTCAACATGTGTGTTTACTGCCTGCTTTATAAGTTGCAACTCTGTTGCTGTGAAGCTCGCACACAAGAATTTCACTCACATGTACTGTACCAGTGTACCTGCACATGTGACGTGACAATAAAAGTGATTTGATTTGATACGCTGTAAAATCCACGGTCAGAACAACAATTGTAAACAAATGAAAACTTTTCGGTCCATTCAAAAGGATGTTTCTCTGAATGCACAATATTTATTTAAAGACTGAGCTAAATGTTTAGTTTCTAATGCAGGTCCAAACTATAAGTGCAAGTTTTTCGTATTCTGCATTTAAAAACTTAAGCAAATGCTATGTGGCTCATCTTAATAACTAACACAACATTGTTATCTGTCTTTAATTAGACGTTTGCCATCTGGTCATCTGTTGGCATCCATGTGGCCTTCAGTCTACCAGAACCAAAACACACTATAATAGATCGATCCTCTTGGACTTCTCCACCTCAGAGACTGGATGAGGTTTTTGGTTCTTTTACTGATTATGTTGCTTAATTTGTTCTTTTGTTCCTTAGTTTGTTTGTTTTTTCAAATTCAAATATAGATGACAACAAGTACGAAATAAACAAGTTAAAGATATTAAGCCAATCACATTTTACATACGCATATGAGGAATAAATGAAAACAAAATATTTTTAAATGATAAATAATAAATGACCATACTTGTATAGTGCCTTTCAGAGTCTGAGGACTCCATAGCGCTTTACACTACAGTGTCTCATTCACCCATTCACACACACATTCACACAGTTTATCAAGAATAGACTCACTGTTTATTTTTTCGATTATTAATTTACTTGGTATGACATGAGATGTTATAAAATCATCCATAAATCCAGCATAACGCCACTTGAAAAAAAATGTATTTAAATCAACGACTGATTTAGCTGTTAAATTATATCACGTTTATTCAGTTGTTTCAATCCCAAACTTTTCGCATGTTCCCTTTCCCATCCTATGACCTTTTCCACTCCTAACCCTTCCTCCGCCACCACCTAGCAGTCCACCTCCCCTTCCTGTTTGCAGGCTGCTGGGCACAGATAAGGTGTCTTGGCAGGGAGATGGAATGTTGTCCTTCACTTCTCTCTGTGTGGGAATCCAAGAATCTGTGTTCATGCTAAGTGGCTGGAACAATAGGAGCACTAAAGCAGCTGGGATGAAAGAACAAAACAAAACTGAATTAAAGCTGCAAGCAGCGTCGTTCGGCCCTCGCAGCGAAGATGCTCACCCTCCTTCCGCACCCCCTCCGCTCCATCCCCGACGCTCTCCAAACCCAGCTCCCCGCTGCTCCGTCCTGGCCGGCAGCCCGGGGCACCAGGGCACGTCCACGGACTGAAACGTCCACCACCCTGACACCAAGAAAAGCTAACAGTCACCTCGTCCACACCTCACACTGAATCAGCATCCCCTCCGAGCCTACCATTATATTACATGTCTCACCACTAGGGCATACTTTATCTTTAGCACACTGTTGGTGTGATGACACAGACCAACTTTAGTGCTTTTCTGCCCATATTTAATAAGTTATCGAAAGTTAAAGTTATCTAGGGGGCGCTGTGATCAATTTCAGAAAAATCCCATTGAGGTCAGCTTTGGTTGACAAAGACAGTTTTCTGTTATTTTGGCATCAAACGGACGTTGTGTGTGTTATCTACAGCCAGTGAGCTGAAAGGGGCGGAGCTACAGGGATTTGAACCAACAACCACATCAATGTGTTTGGTGCAGTCACGTGATGTCACAAGCCAAGTATAATGTCATTCTGACTTTGACTTTAGAAGTTAATAAAGTTTGAACCCATCTAGGGGGCGTTGTGACCATTTACAAGTAAATGCCATAGAGGTCATCTTTGGTCATCAAAGATGGTTTTCTGTTAATTTGGAATCAATCAAACGTTGCATGGGTCATCTAGAGACAAAAAGCTGTAAGTGGGTGGAGTTAAACTGAATTGAACAAGTGATCACATACATGTGTTGATTGCAGATGTGTGATGACTCCCACAATGTTTGATGTCGTTTGGAGCTTTTTTGCAGAAGTTACAAAGGTTTTTTGTATCTAGGGGGCGCTGTCCCAAATTTAAGAATTATTCCATGAAGAAGTTTGTAGGTTGATGACAGTCATTTGTGTGCAGTTTGGTGTGAATTGCATCATGCATGTGTTATTCAGGGCCTAATATCTGTCAGGGGGAGGAGCTAAAGCAATATCAACAACTTACCACAGGACTGTGGTGGGTGCCATTGTGTGAGTACACATAGCAAGTTTGATGCAGTTACGACCTCGTCTGTAGGAGTTATTACAGTTTTAATGGTGTGTAGGGGGTGCTGTGGTGACATTACACAACGTTCACAACCCGTGTGTGCCTCGTTGAATAAAGGGCATGATTGTTGATTGCCATGTTCAGTCTCGGGCAGATCGGAGGTTGTTAGTGGAAGTTACAGTCAAACGTAAGGTCACGGCGTCACGCCAGAATTCGCCGTGGCATCAAAGCCCTTCCCTTTCTGAAAAGCTATCAGATCTGAATGGTCATTACAACATCATGAAGACAGTGCATGACCTTAGTGTCATGTTGACTAAAGTAGAGGGGACAAATATGGGCATTTCACCATAAAAAAATAGACTTCCTGTAGTCAGGGGGCGGGGCATAGGTGATGTCAGCTGTCCACATTGTCATTGTCTTGAGATGTGGTCAATGATCACACAGACAGAGTTTGGTATAGATCTGATCATGCACATGGGAGTTGTTAAGTCAAGTAATGTAATGGCGAAAGGTCAAAGTTTGAGGCTTAGCCACGCCCACACCTTTATACTTGTATAAAATCCGACGGTTGAATTTTTTCCTCTATGTCTTAAGATTATATAGCAGGAGTTTGAAGGTGATAGGTGGAAAGGACGACGAGACATCATTCTCCTAATAACGTGTGTGAAAACCACTAAATCGAGTACTTGGACCAAAATGGCCGACTTCCTGTGCGACTTTGCACTTGGCTCAAAGAGACTTTTTTGTAGGTCCTGAGACCCCACATTAGTGTACCAAATTTCGTACTCCTCAGTCAAAGCATGGCTTGGGGCTGACAGTTTTAATGGACCTAGGGGGCGCTATTTCAGAAAATAGGCCACGCCCATTTGATGTTCACATGAGATCTTTTGGGGGGCCGGACTAGGATCACTCACAAGACGTTTCGTGACTGTATCTATAGAAATGACGACATGGGAGGCACATGTATGGCCACGGCGGTACGCCTGACTTCGCTGCGTCGCTACAGCCCCGCCTTCTGCAGAAAACACCCATAAAGTGACGCCAAGCAACGCCAACTTCTCTTCAGTTACCTGCTACAAATTCGGGCTGATTATTCGACAGGGCGAATTTTGGAAAATTTCCCAGTAAAACTTGACGTTTTAAGTCCTGAGGGGGCGGGGCTTGTGTGACATCATCCAGCGACCATTCATTTGTCTTCGGGGGGCGATGACGATTATCCATAGAAAGTTACTTTAACTGTAATTCTTTAATTTGTGAAATTATAGCAATTTGAATTTTTTTGGCGAGTGCTCGAACTTTGAGGCCTGGCCCCGCCCCTTCAGTATTTACGAAAAGTCAATTTTATTTTCTCATTTGAATCGTCCATCGCTTCTGTTCGATGGCACACTATTTTTGAGACTATGGTACGAAAAATGACGAAACTGTTCAACCAAATATAGACCCTAGAAATGGCCAAAACGGCTAAAAATCGCCATTTCAACCCAAAATGGCCGACTTCCTGTTTTATATTGACCATGGTTGCAAGAGGCTTTTCTGTGCGGACTGTTGAGTAGTACCAGTATACCAAATTTCATAACTGTACGATAAACTAAGCTTTATGGAGAGGGGTATTTTTCACTCTTTAGGGGGCACTGTTGAGCCACTTTTTTATCAACTTTCACATCGCCAGTGAAATACGTAAATTTCACGCACTTTCTATATTGGGCCAGAATTTGGTGACTTTTTGGATATGCTAAGACCCCCTAAAGGCCACCCAAAGACGCGGAAGAAAAAAGAAAGCGTAATAATAATAAACGGAGCAGATACAATAGGCCTTCGCAGCGCTTCGCTGCTCGGGCCTAATGAAGGACTTTCAAAGCTTCACCGTCAGATGGAAATGCTGCTTTTTCCTTAAGTAATTGTTTTTGGAGAGGATTTTACTGCACTTTATATTTAAAAAAGTTGAAGCTTTACTTCAGAAGAACATGTTTCTTTGTCATTTTGCTATTGTAAAATAAAGTGATTTGTTTATGTACAGGGGAACGAACACTGTGCCGACAGAAGTTTCCACAATCAGTCAAAACAAAAAGAGAAACAAAGTTAAACCAATGGTATGTGTGCTTTGTTGCATTGTTTAGATTGCCTTGGCCAGTTTATTGGCTGATTGGTTGGTTGGTTTGTATATTGATAGTTGGTTGGTAAGTTGGTACATTGATTGGATGGCTGATTGATGGGATGATTGGCCAGTGGTTTCTTTGGCCAATTTATTGGCTGACTAGATGGCTGGTGTGCATGTTAATTGATTAGTTCGTTGGTTGGTGAGTTGGTGCATTGACTGGATAGCTGATTGGTGGGATGATTGGCCGGTTGTTTCCTTGGTCAATTGATTGGCTGAGTGGTTTGTATGTTGATTGATTAGTTGGTTGGCTGATTCATTGGTTGGTTGGTTGGGCTCAGAAAAGATCTCAATATGCTCACACTGGCTGAACAGCTGATGTGCAACACATTTTTTATGGGATGTTATGAGATCTCCATTTATCCCATGACTTAGGTATTGCTTAAATAGTTAACTCAACTCAGTTTTTGTTAGTGATGTATTTTCTCTTTTTTGGCCTACTTCTTGCTTCTAAGGGACCCTCAGGAGAAAGAATTGAGAAACAAATGTTCACTGAATCATACAAATAAGAGATGCTCAAACTGATCTCAAGAAACAAATCAAGCAATGAACAACACATCTTTACTATGGGTTGAATGAATGCCTGATTAGTTGGGATGATTGACTGTGTGATGTTCTGAGGTAGATGCTTAACCCAAGACATGCAGAATCAGAGACCGAGGCGAGTATAAAGGAAAAAATAAAATATATTTTTTAACAGGAGAACTAAGGGCACACTGGGGTCCAGCGGATGAGAATCAGGAAGTGGTGTCTACAAGGAAAACAGAGGTGAGTATGGGAGATGTAGTCTTGACGGAATTGTTTGGAGTCAGGACTTACTACGCGGAAGTGAAGCAGGAAAATGGAGTGGGAGTGAGCCGGGGTGATATCCAGAGCGAGATAGCAGTCCAGGAGGTTGAGTGTTTGACGGATTGAGTTTAGGAGGCTGATTCGGAGAGGGAGCGTGAGTGTGGTGGAGAGCGGGTCGGCTGAATGAGAGGTGAAACAGGAACGAACCGGATAACTTCTTCCAGAGATCGCAGAGTGTCCAAAGATGCAGCAACCTGAGGTAAGGATCCAAAATTATCCACATTAAGTGGATCATCAGAAATTTTTTTTTAAATAAAAATAAAAAAAACAAGCACAAAACGAATCGAAAGGCAAGTGAAACTCGAAGGGCTAGAGACTACCAGTTAGTAGCGATCATCCGGCATTGCAGCATGATCACCCTCCTCCTTATAAAGCCGGCCCGCTGATGAGGATCAGCTGTTTCTCCCTCTCCTGCAATCAGAAACTCAGAGATTGTGAAAGGTGTGAAGAGTACTCACCCCGGCTCATGACAGACTGGCTGTTTTCTTGGTCAATTGATTGGCTGTTTGGTCCATTGGTTAGTTGGTTGTTGCATTGCTTGGATGGCTGATTAGTGGGATTATTGGCTGGTTGTTTTCCTGGCCAACTGATTGGCTGGTTTGTTGGCTGCCTGATTGGCTCACTAGCTTGCTCTTGTTGGTTGTTTGATTAATGAAATGAAAAATCCCAAATACCCTTGAATAAAAATAATGTTTACAACATTTTGCCAAAGTGAGACAAAATGATTTACCATTACAATCGATTTGTATTTGAAATGTTTATACACACAATTTTTATGCAACACTTTCATCAAGTTATTCTATTAAATTAAAGCTGGTATTGTCACAAAAACATACTTTCGTGTTTTTAACTACTTTGACTTTGTGTTTGTTTCAGTACATGTCGTTTCGTGTTGGAACTGAGGTATTTTTTCTTGTATTGCTCCAATCAGGTTGAGGTCAAACAAACAGGAAAAGAAGCAGAAGATGTGAGTGCTCCTTTCCTTGAGCCGTACCAAAGAGGCAGTAAATCACAATCCACGAGCAGGAACAGAATTCACCACACCTATCAAAACCCATTTAAGATCAGAGGCCAGAGGTCCAACCGTTTACTATCTCCTCGTTTTTTCTCTAATCCTTTCTCTCGGGGTGGAACAACTGACAAATGAAGGGCAAATATACATGGTTAATCATTTCCATCTTTCCAAACAGGAAATTATTATATTTGAAATTAAGAAAGCATTTCCTGAAGTCTTCATTTTTATTTATTTTTTTTAGGCCTGCGTCTCTCGATTTCAGCAAAACATGAACAGACCCACATTGGCAGGGAGACCCTTCCACAGCTCCTGCTTTTATAGCTCAGTTCTTCCTTGTGCAATGTGACCTACAGAACAACTCAAGGCAAGTTTGCTAAATGTCTTTTCTGAACAGTAAAGCAAAAATTGTAGATAACTCATGAAGGTGCCTCTGGCCAGAGCCACCTTTAGAGGAAATTGCTGTGATTTAGACTCAGCATCTTTTGGCATCTGCCCACTTCTATTTTTCACTCCTATGGTTGGAGTGTTTGTTTGACTCATCCAAATGCTGTCTCATAAAATGTGTTTCTTAACCACACCGAGCAAATAAAGTAACGTGATAAGCAGTTAAAAGCCAGAAGACTGAAATGAAGAGTTGTTGTTTGTATTTCATTGCTTTGTGCTGCTTTCATAAACAATCAAACACTGTTGAATGGAAACACATTCTATTTGAAATTGTGCATTTTATCTCTTGTTTATTGGTTTTATTTACAATGCATTGTCTCCATTTTCTTTACACGGCTGAATTGATGATTCCCCATTATAGAGAAGAGTCTCAGTGTGAGACGATTGATGGCCACGTCCCTATTGAGATCATGCAACATCAGTGTATTTCCTCGCTGGCTATGCTATTTTCTAATTTCCCTGTGGTGCAAATCTTATCATTTTTACCATTTGAAGTCACCAAAACCAGCAACGTCTAACAGTGCTGTTTCACCCCAAAACACCATATCCTTTTAAAGTCATAGCTGCATGTTGAGTCTCTGCTTTCTGCCGGCAACACATGGAATCTAAGTAATGGTAAATCACTGAAAAGGATGATTAGACAAAATGATGTCTTGGGCTACCAGAGAGAAACATGAAGACAAGTGTGTTCCACAGGAAGAAGGAAACTGTGTTGCTAACATTTTTATTAGGATTGGGCTGGTGTCAAAACAGTAAAAATGCATTCATTTACTGAGGTAGAGTGGCCACTTTTCTTCCATTGTTTGAAGTGAGTAATGGGACGTAGACTCCTGCCTCTTAGCAGAAGTCACAGTTTTACCTTCATTGCTGTTCGTCACACATCATTGATCACAAAATCTAAACAAATTTGATGCAAAGTGTTGCAAGTGTTTTAAAGAGGACATGCTATACAAAAGTCACCTTTTGCGTTATTTTGTGCTGCCATGTGGGTCTCTACTGCTTCTATAAACACTCCAAATTTGAACAAAAATCCCTTCATCCATTTTATGTCAGTGTTTGGCTTTAGGAATCATCAGCCTAAAATTAGTTGTTTCAAAAGGACCCAGCAGCAGCTCTACTACGAGCCCCTCCCAGGTACAGGAGCTGCTCAGCTTATAGCAGCTTGAGTGGGGGATGGGTGAGGGTGGACAGCTTCAACTTGTTTCCTTAAAGTGACAGGGCCCTGAGACGTCTCATTCTGGAAAGTCCTTAAAATGTCAAGAGCAAATCTACTGAGATGGTTTTATGGGAGGGATTTAGTGCAAAGAAATAAAAGTAGGTTGATATCAACTATGGAACTATTAGAACTTAGGGAAAAAGGTCATAAAATGACTTCATTATGATAAATTTATATTTATAATCAGCAACATAACCAAAACAGGATGATTGGTCTGCCTCAGTGTTGGGCACCAGCTTGTGATGAGTCTCAGCTTTTTGTTGTTCCTTCAGCATTTTTTTTAATCTTCTGGTGGCGCAACAAAGACCAAAGTGGTTTATGATTTGTTGTCGACCAGCATGCATTGGGCACCCCTGAAAAGCATTGAGTACAACATTTTCAACAAGTAAACAACTCTGTTTGTGTACAGACGTTCTTCCATTAGCTCTGATTGTATCACATCACCAAAAGTTAGATGTTTGAAAACAAAAATGCACCATTCCTGATGCCCTGGAAACACATCTTGTCAGGGATAACTAGATTTGAAGACCTTAACTTTAGTATTTTTGGCATTTTGTTTCATTTTAAGTTCAGTACATATATTTGTTATGTTGCCCCTTTTTCACTGTGTCGGTTTGTGGCTTGTTTTATTTCATTAACCGCACAGGCCACCATAGTTTTAAAGCAATAATCAACCAAGATAATTCCAAACTAGAACATTAGAAAAAGAAAACAAAATTCAACATTCACCAAATGTCACTCATAACAAGAAAAAGCCTCTATCATGGTGGCTTTGATTAACCTCATTCTGTCAGCTGACATTTATCCTAAAAACTACTGTTACAGGAAAATCAGTAAAATCATAATAAATATTCCCATGAGCCCTTGTGTCCCTATTAAAACAATGGTTCCTGTAGCATATTGCCGCTGTAGCTGGAAAATGATCAAACAAGTAAACATTTGGTTTTACATGTGTTTTTAATTGATCCTCCCACTGGATGAGTCTGTAAAATTTCTAGCTGCTTAGCTTCTTTCAATTTATGTTTTCAGTTTAGAAAACTTTGTTGACTGTAAGTTGATTTTTGCTTCTTGAAAAAAAAACTGTATATAACCAGGAGTTTGAACTGAGGTTCTGCTAACATTTGGACGTGTATTTCAATGTATAAGCAGTATAATCAGTGCTTGTTTTGCACCACTACACCATTTCATGGAGTCAGCAATAGAACATTACATGTAATTAGTTACAGTCTACACATGTTTTAAATAAATATCTGACTTTTACAACAATACTTTTGCCAAATGATAGCACAGAAGGTATTTTTATGGCGGTGTAAATTAATTCAAGTAAGATAAAATAATTTTAAAGACCATCAACCAGCTCAACTCTGCCACCTGCAGACGTAAATCTGTTACAGTGTCCTTTAAATTTGAACTCTGGAGAAAACCTTTGTTTTTACAGTGAAGCCTTATGGTGACTAAAGTGGATATCTCTGAAGGTAATCCTTCCACATATGTGTTCATGTGAGAAAGGGAGGATAATTAATGAGTTTAACACTTGTCATGATAAACTAGTGCTTGGAGTATCTCGTCATCCTCTTTTGGCAAGAAGCACGTGTTGGTTTGGCTGAAGAAGAGGCAAAAATATAATGTTTACCAACTCGATAACTAATAATGTTAAATAACCAGGATATCAGTTTTGGGCTCAATTGTGTTTAAATATTTTTGTCAATAATGGAGCAGAAAATGCTGGAATATAAGTGTTGTAATTAATAAATGTAAATGTTACTACTTTATAAGACATGCTGGAATGAAACCTGACAAACAGCGGTGTGTGATGCGTTTTCAGGGCTAAAAATGCCAGTTTGACTGAGTTTGCTTAAGATGTAGCGTTTTCGGCTAGTTTATTTTTACTATGTGGTGATTGGATAGTTATATGGAACAGAGAAGACTCAACATGAAAGTAAAGAAAACATTGCTAGATGGTTTTCAGTGTAGCAGATCACACAGAAGCTTTGAGAGTGTTTCAGGTCTCTCCAACTCCTCATATTGAGCAATGAAAGCAGAGCAACGATGTGAGAGCCAGCGGAGGCTCTAGGACTTCACACTTTGGGTCCTGGTTTTATACCCAGCCAACAGCACTTCCCAGCCTAACTGCGTTTCTGCCTTCCAGCCGTTCATTTCCATGGCAGATCCAGCCTACTCCACTGCTCAGAGCTGTGCTTAGATCCCAGTTCTTTTTTGGTTGTTTCTTTTCCCCCGATTTCTGATGTTCCTCCACTTCAGCAATGTTAACACATTTCATATATCCAGGAGGAGAAATAAATTATCACAGGTCTACTCTCATCCATTGTATATCAACTACCTCTCCTTGTCTCGCTTTTGCTCTGCTCCAATTATTCCTCCCTGCAGCCAGGATTTCCCTTCCTTTGGTCATAATAGTTAGACTGTGAAATCACCCAGGCTTCACACTCCACCCCTCATCCCCATGCCTCCCACTAATCACCCTTTTCCTTCTCTGATCCCCAAAACTTTTTCTAACTTATTCTGGCCAGACGTGTATATTTATGGCTTCAGAGTTAGGGTGTCAGGAACCAATGATGTCTGCTCTCAATGGTTAAAGCCTAACAATCCCATACTTAAATGATGGGGCTACTGGAAGACCAATCTGACATACATTAACACCTCCAGGCACATCCTTCAAAAACACACATCATGACCTCCCTTTGCTGACACCTGCAGCATCCGCTGGCTAGTTTACATCTCCTGTTAGGCCCTCAGCAAGTGGACAAACTTTAAAAATGTCTGGGATTAAGGAAATAAATAAATAAATAAAACAATGCTAGCAGCAAAAGTGCCCTTTATTACTTATTTATCTCCATTGGAGAAAGAAATAAGTAATGCAGCCAGCCAACGTTATGCCTCATGCCTGCAAGCAGGATGTTTTATTTAGGTTTCTGAAATCACATGAAATAAAACAAACTGTGCAGAACATCTTGTAAAGTTGATGGTAATCTATTGTTTAATTAATGTCCAGTTTCCTTTTTAAATAATGGGAGAAAAGATTAAATCATTTTTTATATCAAAGGCACATTGTGCAGGTTCAGCCTCCTCTAAGATGTAAGGAATGTTTGTTTCTCAGTATCTGGAAATTCTTCAATGAACGTGATCAAGTATTCTTTTCAATTCAATTCAAAAATACTTTATTAATCCCAGAGGGAAATTGATTTTGTGACTTAATAAGTATTTATGAGGAAAGCTACTGCCCTCTTGTGTTTTAGGCTATTGAGTGTCAACGATACAGCTAAGAGGAATTTTTTAGTGTGTGCTTGTGGTTGTCATGCAAGGATGCAGTGCTGTAAAAAAGACTTGGCCCTATTCCAGACTTTTTGTGGTTTGGGTTTTTGGTCACAGTTAAATATTTTTATTGCCAAAAAATGGCATCAGACAAAAATAACCTGATATACTCAAAATGCAGTTTAAAAATTATTGTATCTAATGAGAGACTTTTGGTCCAGTATGGAAAAAGTAAATCATGATTTATGTTTGGATAAAGGTGAGTTTTACTAATTTATTCAATACATTTGCAGTGGCCTGTAGTAGAAAATATTACCATGTAAGTTGTACTCTGGGGAACGTAAGCTCTGGTGCTCCAGGTTCAGGAGCAGGAAGTGAACTAGATCAGATTTGAGCTCAAGACAGCAGAACACCAGGGGTGTTTCACAATGACAAGGAACCTCGCCTTGATGTCTTGGTCCTGCCCCAGTTGCCTAGGAGATATGTCATTGGGGGCCGCCAAGACGTGTTCCAATGTTCATATTCTACCGAGGCGTGTGTTCTCCGTTTGTTAGCCGTTTAGCTAGCTGAACAAGGAGACATGGGAGGTGTCTTGTAGCCTAGCCTTGGTCAAAAATTACCCAGAATACACCGCAGTATTTTCAAAAGGACAGTGGATCAGAGGCCAGCAGCTACTTCGGGGGCACATTTTAAAGTTTAAAAGTAAGTCAACTAATTTAAAATGTTTTTTAGATCCAAATAAGTTATCTATGGTTGGTTAGTTGCTTAGTAGTTTTAACTTAGGTGGCTAGCAGGTAGTAACTCGCTTACATATTTAATTTAACAAATATACACACAATTTAAAAAGTAAAAGTCATGTTATATATTTATATTGAAACTAATACGTCTTGGCGGCTCCTGATGACGTATTTCCTAGGCAACCGGGGCGGGACCAAGACATCAAGGCAAGGTTTCTTGGCATTGAGAAACACCCCTGGTGCTAATTGTCTCCCACTTAGGACTTGAGACTTTGATATTGAGTAGCGATAAGAGCTATAAGAGATAATATGTGACTTTTTGAGAGTTTGAGCTCTCTTTAGAGTAATTAGTATTTTCTGTGTAAAATTTTAAGAATCTGAGCTCTTTTGAGTTAATTACTGCTATTACTGGGGCAAAGACCCATTTTTGTTCAATCATTGCTTTGGTCACTAGAATAAGCCACAAAAAATAAAATGAAATAAAACCTTTGTTAACTTATAATTTGTGTCACGCGTCATCCATGATACCCCAGGCCCCCTAGACACCTGGGATGTATCACCTCCCACAAACAAACTCCACCAAATAAAGCTTCAACATATTGGTCATACATGGAAGAAAATAATACAAATGTGGAAGTCAATGTTCCTGATGCATACATAAGGTAAACAAAGGATGAATACATAATAAACACTTTGAAAGAATAAAAGAAACATGGTCAGTGAGCTGATGAAAGCAGAAAACAGCATCACAGAAAGGCTGAGTGTTTCAGAAGAAAAGATGGCTAAGATCATGGGATTTCATCACAGACACCGTACGTTATCATCGACCTTATTTGAGGGGAAAAAGTGAAATCTTTTAGAGAAGGAGAGATGTTCTGAGCATAGCCTGGGGCAGGACTCATCACCCTGGTAACCGCACAGGCCAGTCAGACAAACATCACTGAGCACAAGCTGTCTTTTTTTTTTTTTTTTTTTTTTACAGGCTGCAGGAGGACATGCTCCCAAGTAATTTTAACACATTACATGACACGATGATGATGATGACGATGCAGTGACAACAATGTGTGCTCAGCTCAAGATTTCCAGTAAGAACATGGCCAGTCTCATTGAAAGAATCTGAAAAAGTTGTGTACATGAAACAGGGATGAAAATTGTTGAATTATTTATTTATTTATTTATTTATTTATTTATTTATTTATCTCAAACCATCGAAAACATGAAATTGCATATGCACTCCCCCATATTCCTGGTGCATACAAAAATTTTTTTTTTTTTTTTTTTTAAATGAGGAATACGATAAACATATGCTGTTGAATGAAACAATACAAAACATACAATAACATAAAACCATTTGAGAGGGAACTGGAAGAAGCAAAAGCTTATCTAGTCCAGCCCCAATTCTGTTAATAAATCACATTTGCTCACATTAACAAATTTGAAAGAAAAAAAAATTTCTTTATGCAGGTCGTTCTATCTTCACCTTGCTAGTTGCTACATAAAAAGACAGTCACAAAACAATTGTTCACATGAATCTACAGAAAAAGAAAACAAAACCAATAAACAACAAAAACAAAATATTCCATTTGAAGCCAATTACCATTTTTATCACTTGCTATTTATGTATGAGTCAATTATAAGTTGTTTATACAACATTTTAAATGATCTAATGTTTTTACATAATTTTAAAGTCACATCAAGTTTGTTCCACAGTTTGATACCACATACAGATACACACATACTTTTCATAGTTGTTCGGTATAATGGAAAAATGAAGTTTTTAACGCCTCTCAATTCATAACCCTCTTCATGAGTTTTAAACAACCTTTGCAAATTACACGGCAGTACACCCATCATGGCCCTATACGGTACAAGGACAGTTTTAAATTGAATTAAGTCAAAAAATTTGAGTAATCTTAAATTGTAGAATAATGGAGTTGTATGATCTCTATATCCAGAATTTATAATTATCCTTACCACTCTTTTTTGGAGAACACAAATCTTTAATAAATTAGATTTATAAGTATTGCCCCATACTTCGACACAATATGATAAGTATGGTAGAATCATAGTACAATAAAGTGTGTGTAGTGCTTTCTGTGGTAGAGAATATCTTGTTTTATTTATTATTCCAATGCTTCTGGCTAATTTAGAACACACATATTGTATGTATGGCTTCCAACAGAGCTTATGATCAATCAATATCCCCAAAAACTTAATTTCATACACTCTTTCAATGGCTATTTCATTAACAGTCAAATAGATTTCTTTACTACTTCTTTTATTTCCAAATAACATAAACTTTGTTTTGCTGACATTTAACGACAGTTTGTTTTTATCAAACCAATTCTTAAGCTCACTCAATTCATTCTGGACCTTTAGTATAAGTTGCTGTATATCTTCTGCTGAACACAAAATATTTGTATCATCAGCAAACATAATAAATTTAAATAATTTTGAAGTTGTGTAAATATCATTTATATATAACAGAAATAACTTTGGGCCAAGTACCGACCCTTGCGGAACTCCACAGTGAACTTCGAGACAGCTAGACTTGTGATAGCCCAACTGCACATACTGAGCTCTGTTACTCAAATAACTTTTTAGCCAATTGAGAGCTGTCTCCCTTATACCATACTTCTCCATTTTTGATAAAAGTATTTTGTGATCGACTGTATCAAAGGCTTTCTTCAAATCAATAAAAATTCCCAGAACATATTTTTTCTGATCAAGCGTTGTGGATATGTCTTCAACCAATTCCATTAGAGCTTGTGCAGTAGATCTACCTGATCTGAAGCCATACTGACTGTCTAATAAAATGCCATTTTTTTCTACAAATTTTTCCAGCTTATCATTGTAAATCTTTTCCAATATCTTTGAAAACTGAGGTAACAAGGAGACCGGTCTGTAGTTTGTAAATTGATGCCTATTGCCAGACTTGTAAAGAGGAACCACCTTAGCCACCTTCATTTTATTTGGGAATATTCCTGTTTTAAATGATAAATTACATATATACGTGAGTGGTTCGACAATACAATCAATAGTTTGTTTAACTAAAAACATATCTATGTCATCTCCATCTAATGAAAATTTTGTTTTACATGCTCTGACAATTTTAAGAATATCCTTTTGAGTCACTTCTTCAAGTAATAATGAATCCGCCACACCGTCTCCGTCACCATAACCATTGGATTCAGAGTCCACATTACTATTTATTTTGTCAGCCAACTTTGGACCAACCCCAACAAAAAATTCATTGAAGTGTTCTACTGTCAACTGTCTATCATAAATATCTCTGTTATTACTGACAAAATAATCTGGATGGTTTAGACCGTCACAACGCTTCTTGATTATTGTATTTAACACGTTCCATATTCCTTTGATGTTACTTTTATTCCTTTCAATCAAATTACTGTAATAATTCCTTTTACACATCCTCATTATAGTAATTAATTTATTTTTATATGTTTTATATTTTTGCTCCGCTTCTTTAGTTCTGTGTGATATAAATAGCTTATATAATGTGTTCTTTTTTTTACAAGCATTTTGGATCCCCTTTGTCATCCACGGCTTCTCTGAATATCGATTTCTACAACTATGTCTTATCATCGGACAATGCTTATCATATATACTTTTGTAAATATCCAGAAATAAGTTATACGCAATATTGACATCATGTTCACTATATATATTACTCCAGTTAACACTACGTAGTTCCGTTTTTAAATTTTGTAAATCTTCTTCCTTTCTTCTCCTTTTATACATTAAAGTTTTAGCTGGTTTTACTTTCTTTGGATGGCAGTCGTGGATAGCAAATACAGGGAGATGATCTGTTAGGTCTGTTATCAATAGTCCACTATGTATAATACTTTCTACATTATTAGTAAATATATTATCAATAAGAGTGGCACTATCAGCAGTTATTCTACTTGGTTTCGCAATGAGGGGAACCATGCTCATACTGTACATTAACTCAAGAAATTCATCAGTTTTCTTATGTGCTGTAGCTTTCAGTAGATCTATATTAAAGTCTCCACACACATATGTTATCTTACTTTTGTTTAACATTAAAATACTTTCCATTGTAACAATAAATGTGTCAATGTCACTTCCTGGTTTCCTGTATACACAATGAATCACTATGTTTTTTGTTTGCTTAATACTCACTTCAATGGATATACATTCCATAACTTCATCAGTAACCATAGACAAGTTTTCAGTAAATTTATATGAAAGGGACTGATCAATGAAAAACGCAACCCCTCCACCCTTTCCATTCCTATTGATACAATGAAAATTGTAACCTTGCAAGAAAAAATCCTCACCGTGCTCTGAATCTATCCATGTTTCTGATATTGCAATGATGTTAAACGGCCTCACAAAATTATCAATATAATCTTTAATATTCTGAAAATGAGCATAAAGACTTCTGCTATTAAAATGAATGATAGATAAGCCATGCTCATATTTAATAGTTGCATTAAACTGTTGGTCAGTAAAATAACCACTTAATGAATGTGTGCTACTATGGAAATTTTGTTCTGGATCAATGTCCTGTTCAAAATCACCCATGAAGAAAAAATAATTTACATATAGAAAAAAAATTTAAGTAAATAAAACAACAACACCCACAAACTAAGTAAAAAACTAAATTAAAGAATGACCAACATAACTGTAACCATATCACTTAATATTTTCCAGTTGCTTGATATCTCTGATCCATAACCCACGACTATTTTCCGGAGCACCTTTCTGTTTGATGAACACCTTACAATTCATAGTCCAGGTAGACTCTACGTATCCCTGCTTTTTCATTTGTCTCGCTCTACGAGCAATGTCTGCATTTTTCTTCGTCAGATTTTCATTCAAGTACACATTTGTTCCCTTTAATTTCCTCCCCTGTTTGAGCAGATCCACTTTGTGCTTCCTACTATTAAAGCGTATCATAATAGCTGGTATCACAGATTTATCCAGATTTTTCTTGAAAGGTAATGAATGGCATGCCTCAATGTTTATTTTATCAATTGAAATGTCTTTACTTTTCAGAAATGACACAACCTGCTCTTCAGCTGTATCATCTTGGTCAGCCCCATTGTCATTATCTATTCCCTTTACCGCTTGGAGGTAGCTTTTAGGCCTAATTTTAAGACCTGTAATAATTATATCATTCATTCTTGAATGCTGTTCCAGCTCTGCCACTCGATTTTCGAGCAAGTCAATTTTCCTTTCTTGTTCCATATTTCTCATTTTAAGATCTTTAATCTCAGTAAGTAAGTCCTTAATGCAGGCTTGCTGTTTTGTCAAAGTTGACAACTCAGCTGTCATCATGCTCACAGAATCCTTTAACTCCTCCATATCTTTCTGTAGTACTTTCATTGCCATTTTTGTGGCCAGATATAAAAACAGTTCACTTAGCTTTTGTTGAGATTTTCTGTGTAGCCAGGCTTAGCGTAGATGAGCCAAGAAACAGGTCCTGGTAGCTGATGGTGGATCCTGGCTGCCAGACTCGAAGGTCGGTGACAGTACCTGGCTGCTAGGCCCGGAGGCCGGCGGTGGAGTCGGGATGCTGGGCCCGGAGGACGGTGGCAGTACCTGCTGCTGGGCTAGGAGGCCGATGGTGAAGCCTGAACCCGGCCTGAAGGTTGGTATGGCTAAGCTCGCTGCTTGTCCCGGACGCTGTTGGCGGAGACCGGCTGCTGGGCCCGGAGGCTGCTGGTGGAGCCCGGCTGCTGGTCCAGGAGGCTGCCGGAGGAGCCCGGGCACTGGGCCCGGAGGCCACCGGTGGAGCACGGCCGCTGGTCCCGGAGGCCACCGGTGGAGCACGGCCGCTGGTCCCGGAGGCCACCGATGGAGCACGGCCGCTGGTCCCGGAGGCCGCCGGCGGAGCCCGGCTGCTGGTCCAGGAGGCTGCCGGTGGAGCCCGGCTGCTGGGCCTGGCGGCTGATGGCGGAGCCCGGCTTCAGCGGTCGGAGATGGTAAACACGTCTCGTCTCTTCTTGTCTTCTTCCTCCTATCTGGGTTCCCGTCGCAGATTATAAATGGATCAACTGACAAATTATGAGATGCAGTGATGCCAGAGAGACCACCAATCACAGGGATCCATCTAAACAATAAATAAAGGGGAAGAGAAAACAATAGAAATTCTAGAAGCCTCACTGCACTTTCTGTTGGAAACTGTCCTGAGGTCATCTGACTACACAGCTCACAGCCTGCATCCAAGATATGAGATATAGCATGAATCACCTGCACAGCTGAAGGCATTAGTGATACCAAATGGTAAACACAGGCTTTGGAGCAACATGTGTGATCATCCAGGTGTCCCTCATCCTTGCTTATTTATTTGGGACAAAGCCAAATCACTTTCCATGCGTATTTTAAAATCAAAGCCTGAAGGTACAGAAATCTGGGTCATAAACATACCTGCAAAATTGAATTGAATTATTTTGGCCACTTTAAAATGTCAGACAGGAAGCCAGTTCATCACAGAGACACATAGAGACAAACAAGTAACAAACTACTTGTGTACAATTTAGTGTCCAAATATCCTGACAAATGCAAATTTTTGGTCTGTGGGAAGACTCCACCGGCGATTCCCAACAAACACCTGGAGAGAACATGCTAATATTGTTTAGTCAGATCGCAGGTAGGATTCAAACCAGCGACCTTCTCGCCATGAGTGTTACCAACCAACCAACCATTGTCTGAACCCGCTTGTATGTGTAGGGTCGCAGGGGGGCTGGTGCCTATCTCCAGTAGTCAACTGGCAATCAAGTGGGTTACACCCTGGACAGAGAGCCAGTCCATCGCAGGGCAACACAGAGACACACAGGACAAACAATCACACACACACACACACACACACACACACACACACACACACACACCTAAGGACAATTTAGACAGATCAATCAACCCCTGACAGTCATGTTTTTGGACTGTGGGAGGAAGCTGGAGTACCCGGAGAGAACCCACACATGCACAGGGAGAACATGCAAACTCCATGCAGAAAGATCCCAGGCCGGGAAGCGAACCCAGGACCTTTTCGCTGCAAGGAAACAGCTCTAACCACTGCGCCACTGTGAAGCCCGTGTTACCACCCACAAAGCCCAAACATTATTATATTTTGAAAAGCATATTTAGCAGCATCCCAGTGTTGCTGTTGGTTTAGCAGCAAAGTGAAGTTACTTCAGGTTTTCTTCAACCAGAGTGTGACTGGTCACCTGTGACCTCATGAATGCACAGTTTATTTACACTCTGGAAGCAAAGGGTGAACATCTCCGACTCAGACTGCAAATAGAAAAGAACTGTTATTTTAGATGTGCTGCACTGGGCTGCCTGTGGGTGCTTTGGGGCAGGCCTATCAGCAACACTCTGTTATTTTATAAGAGATATATGAGCCATCATGTCTGAGTCTTTAACAATGTCAGAAAAAAAGTTTCTAGATTTGTTGCAAGTTGCTTTTTTATGAGTTGCTAGAGACATCTACGTAATGCAACCATACGAGGAAAAAAAAATCCAGAAAAAAACAAGGACTCCCTGTGCTGGCCCCAAATCTGGATAGATGCAGAAGATAGCACAAACTCACAACAAGGGTCATCTCAAGGCACTTTACAAAGTGAACACTCCAATTGAGTTCAGTTAATGATGCCAGTTAGCTTGTTTGTATCGAGTCACTGACTTGTGTCAGTGACTTTACAGCATTCCCCATCCTAAGCAAGCATACAGGTACAGCGACGGTGGAAAGGTAAACTCCCCTTGAACAGGAAGAAACCTCCAACAGAACCTGGTTCAGTGTGAGCAGCCATTGACAGTAACAGTGATTACAGAGGGGGAGGATGCTGAGGATGGAGCCACCAGGCAGGACGCTGAGAGCAGCTGTATGGATGTGATGAAAGACGGCATGAAGTTAGATGGTGTGATGGCAGAGAACACAGAGGACTAAATGGCTGTGGCAACTCAATCAACAAAATGTCTTGTTTATGTTTGATCCCTTGCTTTATTTGCATCTAAAATCTGTGACAGTTGACAATACATCATTCCCACATGAGCTGCTGTTAGTATGCTGTTACACGGCAAAAACACATACCTCTAAAAAAAATTGAAATTGTTTAATAATAACTCCTTTTTAATTTCTTTCTTGTCAATCTTCATTTGACATTTGATGCATTTAGGCAGAGTAGGATGAGCGAGGAGCTAACTCACTTCACTTCAGATTCTTATTTAGAATTTGTCTTTTTCTTTTGGTTTTTGATAGACTTCTCTTTGAGACTTTCTTCTGTAAAAGTCTCTGGTTTTCTTACGCAGAAGTGAAACCAACTCCATTTAACAAGGAAGGCTCAATGAATCCTCTAGGGGCCCCGAGTATAAGCAAAACATTGCAAGAGCCAGCAAGGAATACCAACTCAGTTAAGAACAAAGGAGATGGAAATCAATGGTGGGATATGCAGATTTTTTTGACAGCTCGACACGCAAATAATCTTTAGAGACTTTGCCTTCTGTTGCCTTTGCCAGGTTAAAATAACAACCAGGCAGGAAAGAAAAAAACATACAGTTTTATTTTTTTATTTATTTAAAACACCGTATGTGGCTAAGAAAAGGGCAGAGCCTTACACCTACTTAGATTTGTGTGAAGGTGTTCCAAAACAATCAATAAGGAAAGCACTGGACTGCAAGCAAGGCTGGAGCGCCTAAGGCATGGTCCTATCTTTAAGTGCACACTACCAACCTCAGAAAATCATTTAAAGCTAAACGCTGCATTATTTAAAAGCTGCAGTCTATGTTTCATGCACAGTTGTATCTGTCAGTTTGACGACATTTGAGGAGCTTGAGGAAAGTCTCCATCTTGTGGGCGTCTTTCTTGAAGCAGCTGATTAAGACATAGTCCTTCATCACAGACTCCAACACTTCTGGCTGAACATCATTCTGTGGCACACTTTGATCGTTGTAAGCAGTGGCCAGCGTCCCGTCGTCCAACATCTGAGCAACGACAGGAAAGACATTAAATAATAACATCCTCACTTGGCCTGGGTTTGGGTAAAAGACAGATTGTGCAGTTCCAACGAGGACCGCACGACATGAATCAGAGGCTGAAGTTAACTATTTACATACTAAAGTCAGTAAAATGCGAAAGTGCAGTAATGCATGTAGACTATTGACAACCAGTATGATTAATGTAAGGTTCTACATGAAGATAGTCTTTATTCTTCATGTCATGCATTTAACAAGGTGTGGATATGTTCCTCAGCGGTTGTGCTCCAAATTGACAGGACATCATCACACAGACATGATTTGAATCTCCCGTATCCATCACACCCCAAAGGGTCTGGATTGGAGTGATCTGGTGATTCTGAATGCTTTTTCATTGCTGTAGTCCAACTGCTGTTTGATGTTTCCATTTCAGTGACAGTTGTCTGCTTACCTTGTTGTGAGAAATGCACATAATTGCTGTGTTTTTCCAAGTTTGCTAAAATTGGATCTTATTGTTCTGCCTTTTGTAAGAGAAAATGTGGGCGCAAATCAGGGTAAAACTGCCGCCACGGTGTGTCTTAAGAAAGCACCGTGGAGGCATGGCGATGCGAGGATATTTGTGCCATCAAGCTCGGTAGCAATATTACCACAATGACGGTCTTCTAAACAAATATCACACCTGTGCGTAACATATGGTGATGTCATGATCACGTGTTGAATTACTGCCGAACCCCGGTCGGCAGCAATAATGAAACCGTTCATGGGGACTGTGAAGGACAGACAAACTTGTGAGGCTTGTGAAAAATAAATAAATAAATAATAAACTGAAGGAGCACGGCTCAAGTCGACCAAAAAAAAAAAAAAACAGGTTACATCCAAGGTAAAATGATGTTTGTGATGACGGGTCAACTCCATGGAGACTGCCCCATACCACCTTTATACCACCATTGTGTGATCTTTAGTCCGAAAACAGGATCGTGCCACATTACTGCCACAGGCTTAGTAGTGCTTACAGTATGAACAATCAACGGCTCCTTGATGCTGCCTCAGTTTTGCAGCAAACTGGTGGCATTGCTTTATGAAAGAGGCTTACGTGTGTGTACCAAGGACTCATGAATATATTAACCAGTTGTCAAAAAAGACAAAGACTAACATAGAAATAAGTGGCCTGAAATCCAGGCCTAGATTGAGGTTGAGCAGTTCTGGTTGGTGCACAGGCACAAGAACTGAAAGTGTCATCTTTGACTGACCTTCTTGATCAGAGCTACCACTCCTTGCTCCAGACTGACAAGCTTCTCAGACACCCACTTAGTCTTGTTGAGCAACGTGTCTGGAGCATGATCGTAATGATCCAGGGTCATCTGTAGGTAAACCAAAGGCTCGATCCAGGACTGGACTAGCATCAAAACTGAATGGAGTAACCATTTGTCCTGCAGGGTACACACACGAGCAAACTGATTAGCAGCTCAGACATGTAGTGACCAAAGTGAATTTCCTAGAAACCAACCACACTGCTAATGACCCAGTAAATAATAGCAGATGAATAAGAACCACGGTAGAACAGCTAAACAACCCTTTAGTTTGCACTCTTTTGACCATGCTGTGCTGGACTGAATTTAAAACCTTCTAATCTAATGAAGGTCGGTACTCATGAGATAAGTATGCATTTTTTATAGTTATTTGCTGTGAAATACAACTGTAGTCCCACAGTGATATTTCATGTTTGGTAAAGGTGTTTCTCTGAAGACACCTTTTTGTTTGGAAGACTTTGTTTAGACCAAACGTATCTAATTACACACTGTGGTGTGGTACTAGATTGTGTTTCCGCAGGTCAGGTAATTACTAAAGCAAGAAGGAAAAGTGGTGAACAAAGAGGAGAAGGTACACATGATCATGTAAATGTACAAACTGAACTGCAGTAGTTTACATGAAGCTAATTAGCAATTTTCATGTAGTACATACTGTTACAAAAAGGGCTCACACACACACACACACACACACACACACACACACACACACACACACACACACACACACACACACACACACACACACACAATCCTGATAGAGCAAAGAATTGGCATTTCAGCTTTTTCTACACCCTTGTAAATTAAAATAAAATTAATCTAGTAATGTCAGTTTTTTTGTACAAACTGAATTACTTTCCTGGTCAAACAAACCCATTTTCACATCATTTCAAATTATATTTTCGTGTTTTAAATATTGTTTTGTTATTCCACATTTAAATTGTAATAATTTGATCAAAAACCCTTCAAGTGTGACATTTTATTGCTTGAATGTGATCATTTAAATCAAATATTGCTAAGACATATTGTGCCTGGTCCGAGAGTGATAGTGAGTAAAGACTGGTTATCGCCTCAAAGGTTCCTACTTTACCAAAATAAAATCTAAAAATAAAAATAAAAAGCTTTTTGTTTTTGATTATTGAATAAAACCAAACATCCAGAAGGTTCAACATAAACATTAAAAATTGTTTTCTGTGTCAAGAGGAAAAACGAGATTACACTTTAGTCAAATGTGTACAACTGCATGAAGTACATGATCTGAAATAGGTTTTCTACGTTGACTAAATTTGAACAATTCAGGGTGTCACAAATCCTGGTAGCCGTAACTCTAAACAGGTAGGAAACAAATCGTAACGCAACATCCTCAAGGATGGGTGGCTATAACATAGAAGACGTTCTTGTTTATTATGTTGGAACTTTATTTACGATCATAATATTCTTACTCATGACGATGTTCAAACAATAAACCTTTCCTTTTTCCTCCTTGCTGTGTTGACAGTAATGTGTTTCCATAGTAATCTCCACCAAGATGCTTACAGATATTTGTTGGAGTTCACTCTTAGAGCTGGGGATGGGCAGAGTTTTGGTGATGCATGCGTACGCAGCCAGGTTACTCTGGATCCTCAGGGGAAATGGGATGAACATCTCCTCCTGTGGACCAATAACAGAAAGAAAAGGGAAAAACACAGATTAGATTCTTCAAATTGGATTAAAGTTATTTCCTTTACCTGAAGTGTGGCACAACAGAATAATAGCTGATTCCTCTAATGTGATCAGAAAAGACGTTTTCAAACGCAGCAGGAACACGGTGATGAAAGCGTCACCAGAGACACAACAGATATACACATTCTGTTCCCCAGCACATGTTCATCTGTAGACCTCATGCAGCAGAATGCCAGTAACAGCCCCGTGCATCATTTTGTTTCAAATAATGGAGGGTGTTCAACAGGCTGAACACACCTATGTTTCCCCTGTTGCAGTGCATCATTATCACATTCGTACAACCCTGCTGTGGGCTCGCTTCTTCAATAAAACATCTCTAGCTCAGAGAGATGGAAGATTACTTTGAAGCGCGGGAGTGAGATGATGATCGCGGTGGAATCATTAGGAAATAACGCAGAGGATCTAACAGAACGACTCGATGCTTCTGGTCCTGCGTAATGTTAAAAATGTGATTCTTTTATAAACGGGGAAGAGTCAGGGTTCAGTTTTGAGGCCATACCTCCTGAGAAAAGTCTCTTCAGCACTGAAAGTAGAAGAAAACACTTGGTTTGATCTCACAACGATTTTCTAAATTATACACCGCGTATGGTTGCACAGCTCTATGTTTCAAAGAGTGGATTTTAGATTTTATAAAAAATGATTTTTCCAGAAGAGCATTTGACGCTCCGTAAACTCAAATACTGAAGTAGCAAATTAAGAATGACACGTGTCTACAGCACGATTAGACACTCATTTATATAGTTTATCAACACAGAAAGTTGATTTCAGGGGTGACTTAGCTTGCTCTTTAAGTCATTTTACCATCCCTCTGAACATAAATTATATTGAGCCAAAATAATCAACTTGGCATTTAAAGATATTAAAAATATATATTTGAAGTAAATAAAAGTAATAAGATTAAACAATCCAATGTTATAGTTTTAAAGTGGTAGTGAAAAAAATTATATTGTTATTATTTCTGGTTCACAACTATGCAGACATTTCAGTTCTTCCCGTTTGTGAAAAATGAGTAAAATAAGTTTCCCTGTCAGGAATAAACAATGAAACGTAACATGACAGAACATGTAAAAATGGTTGCAAGATGACTAACAATCGCCAACAACAAGTCTTTAAGCCTAAAATAAAAAATAAAAATACAAGATAATGCCGAATGGTTCTATCACTCATGATATTTTATTGTCTTTAAATTTAACTACTAAACTATTTTCTACTGCAACAAAGGATGGCAGCAGTATTTGAAAATGTATGTTCTCTGAGGATTTCAAGTGAAATGGCTATGTCTGCTGTAATGCTGCATAAAAAAATGTAGGGGGCAATCTTAAAGGTGCAGTATGTAAGAATAAGAGAGTTTTACAGTGAGAAAATCTCTAAAGAGTCTAATGTTTCAGTCAAGGACTGATGTAACTGCTGTTTACCATCAGTAAGTGTGGGGTTGACATGTCTCCTGCGAGCTAATACTGACAGTTGTAATTAGTCAACAGCCGACAAAAAGCTCCAGCTGCTTAAAGTGGTTGCAGTCACCACAGGATGTCATTTTTACTTCATTTCTACACAATGCACCTTTAATGATATGCTAGCACAACAATAAAGTTGATTTTAAACATGGTTTTTAGTGAAAATGGAGAACGTTTTTACCTAATTGACTCTGCCTGCAACAGAAACTACATTAACGCATCACGAAAATGTAGATTTGGAAAACTGGTACAACTGCTCATTCAATGTTACAACAAATGTTACAATACACATCAGTTTGGGTCAAAACTCCAACTTGACACTTTAGAGGACCTGGAAAGCCACATTTGCCTCTAAATCCATCGGTTGCAAAAAAATAAAATAAAATCAAATAAAAAAACTAGGATCAATGTGACCCCATTTGTACGTTTTGAGGTATAAAGGTATGTTGCTGAGGAGATCATCTTAGCTGTGGTACTTGTTAGTACCCTTGCTGTGTTGCTAATTTATAGATTCATCTTGTACCTCTAAAAGAAGTCCGGTAGCTCTACCAGAACTCAAATAAACCCTTACTTTGGTTCAAAACCACAGTCTATCACAAAGTCTTCTTTATGTAATACGTCGATTGTTGCAGTTGTTTATTTCTTGCCAAAACAAATGTTAATGACATCTGAGACAGCAACCCAGTTTAAACGCTTGTTTCAAAGTTGAAGATTTTTGATTAAAGATACATTTTAGTATGATTTGTTTTCCTATGAACACATGTAGTCTTGTTTCCTACCATTTTGAAACATTTGTAGACCGTATATCGCTCCCTCGTGGTTTAATGTCAACCCTCAGAGCACAAATACATTATACCCAAGTCGTACACTAGGGAGCAAACGTGTACTTATAGAACTGTTAATTTTACCATTATTGGATGGCAGTGCTACTCACAAACAAAGAACAGAGTTCTTCTGAGACACGGTAGATCAGCTCAGCGTGATGGATGATTCGGTCCAGAAGTTTCTCCTGGGAGATGGAGGGGCAGCGGGTGAGGCTGCCATGATCTTCTTTACAGTCTTCTGGGTTACTTATGACAACAAGACAGGGCCAAAGAAGCAACGCCCAGACACCCCACTGCAGGACTGGTGTACGATAGCACAAACAAAGGGACCACAATAATCATTAAAACCTTCTGGTTTTAATAATTGCTCCTATTCAGTCTATTGTGTGATACTTTACCTCTCATGTGCATCCTGTTGATTCTCTTGGAGTTTTCTTTGCTGCTTCTTCATCTTGACGCCCTTATAAAGCCAGAATAGACCATGAATAAAGGCCAAACGTTGTGCGCAGGTTCTTGTAAAAAGATCCGGTCTTCCTTAAAACAACACATTTCTTCGCTAATGCATAAAAAACAAGATGGTGGCCCTGGACCATGGGTGGCCCTAAGATGTTTATGCAGGATACAGATATTTTGTTTTTCCAACTATAATGCATCCAATAATACAGAATTGTTATCAGTTGAGCACATATACATTTTAAATTCATATTTACTTTTCTGTAAAAACTTTTTCAATGATCGGAAAACAGAAAAAGTCTGTGAAGCAAAAGCTCAAAAATGGCAAATAAGTCCCTTTTTTTAATCTGATGTAGGAATTTATTGTCGGTTTAAAGCTGCTTGGCACGTCATCCAGTAAAGCAGATAATAGAGCTTTTTTGACACTTATATTTCATCCTGCTTTGACAGCCATGCACGTATGACAGCTGCTTTACCAAGAAGCTATAGTTCCCCCAGTTGTAATGACTGTGTTTAACCATCAGAAGGAAGCAAATATGTCCTGCTATCTCCTGCCTACTTCACATAATGCTGCTTTAAGTACAGAGTGCTAACAAATGCTCCATTTAGGGCTTTTCCTCCTATTGCCTGAAGCATCCACTGTGCTGCTTACTTCGTTTGCTCCTCAAATTACCTCCATTATGAGTGTAATCAAAATGAAAGATTACTGAGGCTGAGTTCTGCTCTTTATGGTTATAAATCAATCCATGTATTTTGGATGCAAATTACAGAACTTTTTGTTTTTTTCTTGCATACAGGAAATACACAGTTCATCATTGTTTTGCATCAAAGCCATTTAATAATGATGAATAAATGAAAAAAAAATGTAATCATCTCCCTCAAAAAGATCTTTTGTTCCCCATTTTAAACCAAATCATGAAGAGTTGGAAGACTTGCAGCACTTGAGCGTACATATTTATTCATTCTGTGAGACATGTTTCTGCAGACAGACAGGATCTGGTGATGGGTGTTCAGTTACTGAACTCAGCGTCACAGAGCTGGTTGATATTCAGCAAACCCAGAGCTTCCATTTCACAGTATGCTAACCTATTTAAGATGGATCTCTGTCCTTCTAGTCGCCTTTCTTTTACTCCTCCAACATTTCCAGCCCCAGATTGTAATATTAATGCAACTCAGAACTCCAGAAGAAAAAAATAACAGTTCACTTCATCCACTACTCAGGTTAAGTCTTCATTAAATATAACAGAATATTACTGTCAAAAATGTTTTAAAGCAGATGAGACAAACTCAAAAGTATTACTTTAATTTAATAATTTTCCGCTTGCGCCAAAGTTCATTTTTATACTGCTTTAAACTATTTTTCTTTTACAATGACCTTATTTTGGGGGTTGTACAGTTTAATGCATCAAGGGTTAGATTTCACTGACCTCTTCTGGAGCACTGGCAGGAAGTGGTTTTATAATAATAATTTGCCTTACAGTAAAAAAAAGGATTTTCTTTTATCAAAATGATTCAGAATGATCTTGAATGGCATTTGGAGAGTAATTGTTGGGACATTTTGTCACAAACTCCTCTTCCTAGCCACCCCCTACGGAACTAACTGGCGGAGTACTACATTACCCAGCATACCCATCACCGGCGTGGGTTGCTGACATCATCACGCCGACTCTATTTATGGAAGCGCCGCCACTGAGTTATCACTCAGTCATCGTCCATGCCATACATCGACCCGAGTTCTCAGGCTCACCAGCCCTCAAACCAGGAAAGAGATCTTTCCTCGCTGCCTACCACCAGTAATTCAGCTTCCTTATTTATTCGGAACTGCCGCTCAGCCTCGGCTCTTTCCGAGCGCTGCGTTGCCGTTCCCAGATTAAAGCCGCATGCTCTGTATAACCCAACGCCAGCCACTCCGTGTCTGGGTCACACAGCCACGCTACAAGCAACCTCTGCTAAACATCAGCTCAGCCAATCTCACCTGACACATTTGCCTCGTTTCATATCTGGTAATCTAACCAGGTACATGGTTGATCTTTAATGGGTTTAAATTACATGATGATACCATTCAAAGCAATGAAAAAAAAATAGGAAGAAAATCTTCATCTCTAATTGGTTAAGATGAAGACACCTCTGGTGCCAGAGCATGAACTGTCTGAACCATGGGTGTCCATTCTTGTGAGACAAGGGACACATCCCTACTCTGTACTATATAATTTTGTTTGAACTGATGTCAGTTAAGATCTGAACAAACGTGACACCTACCTACCATATGTTGCTTGGTTCTTGAGTTCTGACCTTTTTCCTCATTCCTTGGCTGTAACCCCATCACACTAATTAATTCATGCTAGTGTAGAATGTACAATAATTGCATTATAATTATTGCTGTGTTGAAAAAATAGATTCTCCGAGTCTGAATCGATTCTCAGAAAAAATCACAAGAATTGATTTGTAGGTCCAAAGTTTGATTTAACCCTTTAACCATGTCTAGCTCTTGTACAGCTAAAATGGAAAGCAAGTCCAGAGGGGCATTTTGAATCTTGGGTGTCAGTTTCCCCCAGTGAACTTTAACCCACCCACCATCACATGATTGAGTTCACACATGTGTTAGGTGTGAAGATATTAAAGCAACATGGCGTCAGACACTAGCGGCAAGATTAGCACAATACCCAGAAACTTAAAGCAGCATTTTGAGTTCAGAATGGACAAAATAAAAGGTCAGCTTTATAAACCAAAGCGATTTACAAGGCATGCCAAATGGAGGTGAAATATTGCGGAAATACGACCAATCTCAAGAACCACATCTTGCAACATTGCCAAGATCTTGCAACCAAGCCTTTCACTGGGCCGCAACAGATTAAACTCAAGGAAACACTACAACTACCAGCTAATTCTACATCTTCTCACTAAATAACTGAGACAATAGCAGGTTTCATTTGCAAGGATATGCGTCAGTATGCTGTTGCTGAAAATGAGGGCTTCGAGCAGCCAATGCAGAACCGCATTACGTTATGGTGTCTCGCAAGCGTCTTTCAGAAAAAGTCTTCCCACACACACCAGGCGGCAAGAGAAAATGTGAAAAGTAAACTTGAGTCAGCAAACAAAGTGGGTATTACAACAGATACTTGGACGTCTGTGGCTACGGAGACATACAGGAGCCTGACAGCGCAATACATTGATGTGGAATGGAACCTCATCTTGCATGTATTACAGAAAGCATTAGTTCTGAGAGAAGTTAATATTACTTGTATTATTTTAGTAAGACAAACATTGTGGCTTTAAAGATGTTTTTTTCAGCAGGTCTGAAAAAAAACATCTTTAAAACCACAATGTTTGTCATTGTAAAATAGTAATCTTATTTCTTCACAGTCAAAATGAACCTATTTAATATATTCTGAGGGAAGGATTGGTCCTTACTGTTCATTTAAACTGCTAATATTGCATTAATTTGCTGTTGAATGTCAATAGTATTAATATACTGCACTACATAGTTTTGTAAGCAAGGTAACAAGGGAAAAAAGGACTCAAATCTATCAGACTGAATAGAGTCATAATAAATTATTTTAAATCTTAAGCTTCGGAATCAAATTGATTTTTAAAATTTCTTTCAATGCACAACTCTAATCCTAATTTTGTGCCATGATTCTTATGACATGTCATTTTGTTAATTTGCAACAGTGACTTCTTTTTCTCTATCATTCTGGAAATCATCATGGTTTGAACCATTTTCAGCAATAGATCTTACTATTTGTAGTTTTTTTTTTTTTTTTTTTTTTTGTACACAAGGTTAAGAAAATCACAAAACAACAGTGGCCATCCAGGCCACAATGGAGCAGTAAACTATGATGTCTTCTCTTTTTTTTTAATGTTTTTTAGTTTTACTGTTCGGATGTCAGCAGATCCAGTTTTTGCTGGTATCTCCTTCAGTTTGTGTTTGTGACTCTCAGATTGCCACAAGTGTTTAAGTGCGTTAAAAAAACAATGACAGTACTGAAAAGAAAACAGAAAAACAAGGGGTAACTAAAGGACTTTAGCACAAGGCCATTTAACACCAGTGGTTCAGTTATTTTAGTTTAAGGTATACTCCGTCTGACATTCCTAAAACTTTTCTTTGTTCTGGATATGTTTAGGGCTGACCATTCGTGGTGACAACCAGATCCATGTGGATGAAAGCATTTGCTGAATGTCCCTCTTGTCTCTGTTCCTGTTACTGAAAGAGTCACCTTTCTTGTTAAAAGAAAACAATTTGTTTACTTTATTTTCGTGACCCAAATAGGATCATCATTCTGTGGGGAGTAAAAAAATGTCACAATTGTCACATTTTAGTTTTGTCAGGATGTTTCTGTTTCATTTGTTCACAGCAGACATGTTCACCTCTTGGGTAAAGTTGTATTTCTATTTTAGTCCCTCATCTGATTTAAAAAACAATTTCTGTTGTGGAATATAAAGTGAAAATTGCATTCGCTGTTGTGTCGTCTTGCAAAGATGTACATAATCAAAACACACAAAGTGAGAAAACTGCATTAGATTGTGTTTTTTGCACTGAACCTTTGTTCCCATTTGCAAAAACATCTGCCTGTGCAATATCAAGTCTGGCACGTATAGTTTGCAGCGTGTCATTTTAATTTCAAAGCAGTCCATTGGGTAAAAACAGCAGGTTGGGGCATAGATTGAGATGAATGGGCTGATAAAGAAAAAGCATTTGTTTTAATCTGAAATAACAAGAGGGAAATGTATTATTTTCACAAGGAGTGATTGCTGCTGCATAAAGCCACACACTAGATTCAGAGACAGTAACAGTTTCTGCAATATTTAGTTGGTTTTCAGAACTGTTCAGCTCATCACACATAGCACTGAGCATGTGGGATTTGCTCTTAAATCCAAGAAAGGAAGGTTATTGATGAGTTGTTTGCTGTGGTTCACCGGAAGCCTACAAGAAGTCTCCACACGCCCAATGTACAGATAACATAATATGAATCTATGTTGTTTACAAACTATATTGTATTGTATAT